ACAATCTTTGTGTGAAGTGGATACTCCCAACATCCAAAATTATTCTCCATAGGAAATATACGGACCGAACACGAATTATGAACTTTTTCTGTCAGTGACCTTGATATTGCCCAAATGACCTTGGGTCAAGGTGATGACACACCCTCAGGCCATAAGCAATATTTGTGCAAAATGGGAGCTCGCCAAGTTTATCCATAAGAAATATATGGACTGGACACAAATTATGAACTTTTTCTTCCAGTGACCTTGAACTTGCCCAATTGACCTTGGCCATGGGTCAGGGTCATGACACACTCCCAGGTCATGAATAAGCTTTGTGTGAAGTAGTAAATTCTGATTTTCCTTCGCAAGAAATATATGGACCAGACATGTTTGAACAGACAGATGGACAAGGTTATTCCTACATATTCCCCCAAACTTTGTTTGCAGGGTGATAAATATAGTGTCGAATAACTACAGTTTTTTTAGTATTAATAACCTTGATCTTTTAAACTAGACTTTTCACTATCCTCAAGTATCTACCTTTTAATTCTCTATATGACAAATTTAAAATAGAAGTATTGTCAGTGAACTCAGAAAACAAAACTTGTTCATCATAGTCATGAACTTAGTTTGTTTGCTCCAAACTCAGGAGTATTATTTGGATTTTCAATGAATCAATGCATTTTCACTATATGATCACAGGGATTTATCAGTACCTTCTCAGGGGCCGAAATTCGGTCCCATTCCCAATTGAAAATGAGCTCATTTTCTCCCAATTTGGTTGTATTTTTTCCCAATTGGTGAACAATGTTTTTATATTCAATTTTCTTGGAAAAACACAGAGTAAAATTGTCAGATTGTCTGTAATTTTCATCTATTTAACCCATTTAGCAAAGCTACAGTCATAACACATGTTTAACAACACTGTAAAAACATCGCCAACTTTTATTCCGAATTTCCTCCGTTTTTTCTGAAAATGGTGATATTGTGTAATTGTATAGATTTATTAAGTTATTTCCACCTACTCAAATGATCTACGAATGAATGGTAAGGACTGTAGGCATTATTTCAGATAGAAAAATATATTTTCAATGTTTTAATACATGTTAAAAGAGGATTGTGAAAAAATGTGTACTTAAGTATAATTTTTTGCAGGAGGTTTATTTTTTCCAGAAACAGATTCTATAATGACCTAAATTGAAATCTCATACACACATGTACTGCTCTAAGTTGTATAAATACTTTATACTCATTGAAGTAAATTTTACTTTTATTAGTCTATTATTCCATAATTGATCTTGTATGATGAAGTTGGATCATATTTAATTGTCTGTTTGGTTGCCCAAATTAGAGTTCATGCTGAAATGTTAAATGAATTACACTTGAATACATGATTTAAGCAAATTTTTTAATTTTTCCCAATTTCATCAAATAGCCGATAATTTTTTTCCAATTCCCCAAAAATGGCATTTCCCAAAATAGGCTGATAAATCCCTGGATCAATAAAGCCCTGAATCACTTACCCTGAGGCCATGAATTTCATAATTTTAGTAGAAGACTCAATGCTCAGTACAATCATGCTAAATGTTTGCTTGATGTCCCGAGTTAAAGAATGCATTAATTTTGATGGTTTTATACAGTTCCATCCCCTAGGCCCCAGGGGGAGCAGGGACCATGAAATTCATTATTTTTGTTCCCATTCACCCACATATGCTGCATTAATTTATGCCAAAATTGGTCAAAATGAGTTCAACACTTTTAGAGAAACTGAAAATGTTCAAATGTTACAAGACAACGCACAGTGACTGATGATAGACAAAAACAGATAGCAATAGGTCATGACTGACTCAAGTTAAAACTTTTTTTTTGTGATTATGTCAGCTCAGGTGAGCTAATACAAAATATTGCTTATCACTGATATAAATGACAACAGTTAAATTTTAGACGTTAACCATGTGTCTGACAATTCTATATAATAAAACTTACCCTCAGCATAAATCTTTCAAAGCTTGGCATGGACCTATTTGTTTTTGTGTCTGTTCGAAATATATACTTTTTGTCCTAGAGGTAAAAAAAAAAATATATGTTAAAAAAACTTGCATTTCAGACTTGTAAAGCAAAACCAACAAGATGAAAAATTACTTATTTTACCGATAACATTTAACATTTTCTTCTCTTGATTGAAATGTATAATGCACATCATTACATGATATGTAATTGCAAGTCTAAAAGCAATGGGATCAGAAAACCTTACTTCTTTTTTAAGAGTATTACCATAATGCTGGTAAAACTTAGAATCTGTTTTTGAAGTCCAGTTATTTACATCTTATTGGGAGGCTAAAAAAATATATTTACGATAAGTACCTGTTATAACATTATGTTTTAAACCTCGCCTGCATTTTGATATAATGTGCCAGTGTTGATTTACACCTGGGCTGTGGTGCTGATTTTGTCAATATTTTCTTACTTAATTATTTGGTAAACTATGTGTACATTGTCATACACACTGAAATAAAAGAAACACAGCCGTTAGTTTACATGCAACACAGACTGAAATATAAAATAATTAAATATTTATGTTATGTATTCCTCACCATAGTTCTATTGCACACTAAAACGTCACGTCAGGTCAGAGGTCATAGGGGGAAAAAATTACATCCGGGTTCTTCATGTCTGTAAACCATCGAACGAAGACACTGATCATCATGTTTATAACCGCTTATAACACATTTATTAAGCACGCAAGTTGAAAAAAAATACAGTAGTGAGAAAAAAATGTTCTAAGGTTACTATCGAGAGTTCAAGATTATAAAGCTTCATTCATTTTTCTTAAATTTGAGCTTGTAAAATAGGTGAGTGGAACCTATGAAATTGTCTGCTCTTTACTTTCACTTCGCTTTGTTTTCTGTCACACTAGTTAGAAATTTGATTAATAAACCACAAGCATAATTTTTTAAAGAGTTTTTTGGTGACGGGAATACTAATGCATATTTTCAGATATTCAGCACTAATCAATGTCGGTAAATGTGCTTTTTTTGTGTTGTGTTTTACTTACGTTGTTGACAGTTTTATACAACTTCCAAAAGCTTTGTGCTAATAATCACAAACTCTGTTTTAATCTTATTATGTCTAAAAGAAGCTGTTGTGTGAAAGGATGCACAAACAGCTGGTATACATTACAAAAATGGAGACAACAGTTTTGTTCGATTCATAATACAAATTATGGAACAGGAAAATGTATTTGTGAACCTCCATTTATCCTCATTCCATTCCCAACTGTGGCAAAAGACCCTCATGCAAGAGCTGTCTGGGTAACAAATGTAAACCGTTCCTCAGGGAATCGCAACTGGGAGCCAGATTCCTACTACTCGAAGGTGTGCTCATACCATTTTGTAGATGGGAAACCAGCCACACCTAACCCCTACCTTACTCTACACATGGGTCACTCTAATCCAGTAAAGCAAGGAAGAGCTCCCCCGAAAGAAAGAAATTATTTCTCTCATGCAATCAAAAAAAGAAAATTTCAAGATGAAGTGAGAGAGAATGATCATCAATTGGACAAAGATGATATAAAGTAAAGTGTTTCTTTTGATCATGATTATGTTGAAGTTTGTGATCCTTGCACGTACAAAAGTTTTGAAATTTTAAATCTTAAATCAAAAATCAAAGTTCTTGAATACGAACTTGCCAAGTCAAGGGAAGAGAATCACAAGCTGAAGAGAAAAACATTCAATGTAAGACCTACTGACATTTTAAAATCTGACAAAAAAGTGAGGTTTTATACAGGTTTTCCTTCACTGAGTTCATTCAATAATCTACATAATGCTCTTGAACCTAAGCTGAAAAGTGTAAGGTACTAGAAGGGTCCATCCTTCCATTGCAATACACTGAAACATAAGATTTTCAAGAAATCTAGAGCCTCTAGAAAGTTGTCTACAAAAGATGAGTTACTTTAAACCTTAATGAAAATCCGTCTTGGGTTACTGGATGAAGATTTAGCTGACAGGTTTTCTATTTCTGTGTCGTATGTATCAAGAATCTTTACCACTTGGTTGAAGATTCTTAGCAAATATCTTAGTAAGCTAGTTTTCAATCCTCCAAAAGAAGTTGTTCGTGCAAATCTTCCCCCAAAATTCAAAACACAGAGATACTCCTCAGTTCGACACATTATTGATTGTTCCGAGGTCTTCATTGAGAAACCTCAGAGTATGATGGTTTCAAACCAGTGCTGGAGTGATTAATTTTGTGTCAAACTGTTGGGGAGGTAGAGCTAGTGACAAATGTATAGCAATGAACTCTGGCTTCCTTGATTTGATAGAACCTCACGATAGTGTCATGGCTGACAAAGGGTTCAGTAATCTTATTGAAGAGCTGACGCTTTCTCATGCAAACTTGCTTGTTCCTCCAGGAAGGCATGGTATTGCACAGATGACTGCATGTGATGTACAGAAAACAAAAGAAATAGCAAATAGGAGAATATATGTAGAACAAGCCATAAGACGTATTAAATTCTTTCGCTTACTGAAATTTGAAGTTCCTGTTACAATTTGTCAACATTTAGACGACATACTCAAAATTGTTTGTGGAATATGCAATCTTTATCCACAACTTCCTAGGTATGATTGAAATGATACAAAACTAAGATATAAAGAGTTTGTTTCTCTTAGAAACTGTTATATTTTAAAATTTTGCAATAACAAACATGAAATCAGTAGATGACAATCCTTTAACTAATATAAATTACACATTTGTCAATACATTCTTGACATTGTTTTTGTCATTCTCAGAAAGTTCACATTTTATGGTACTTATGCCCTAAGGTAGTACACAATAGATATAAATCTCTCTTTATATATAATATGGAAGAAATTCAACAATAATTTTTTCCCCTATAGTTTGAAATATGGCCCATCAGACCCCTGTAAGAAGATTGTGAAATCAGACATTCGACCTGAGAATGTGTATTTTTTAAAAATTACCAGTCAATCTATTACAAACTTGTGTGATGTTGTTTTTGTTACTAAAATTCAGTATAATATATTAATACCAGTATATCTGAGACAAATGTGATGTAAAAATAAAACATACATAATCCAGAAATGGAAAATTCACAGGTAAATATGCATAAACACAATCCAATATGTAGGCTTCCGAATGACCAATATATAGGATCCAATGTCTTTAATTTTATATAAAATGCGGCAAAAATATGTCACAGCTTATTATTTTTCTTACAAAGATCCTTGACAATTGACAATATAGTGACATTATTTGCTTTTTCTGGTGTACTTAATAAGAAATGACTTAAAACAGATTTCATGAGTGTTTTGTACTACCTTAACACTTAACAGCTGTATACAAAAGTACATATAGCTTCTGCTATTCACATAGAACACTCGCTACAGTACCAAGATAGTGTTTTCTTTAGTTTTGCATCTGTTAGATTAACACATTTAAAGTGGTACCAAAGACCACATAAATCACAACAAATACTTCTATCTTTTAAAGCAGTGACATTGTTAACAATGACTTGATTACAACATGGACAAACATATGTCTCTCCTTCAACATTATTTGCATTTTCATCTACTTCCATTGCTTCCTCCAGTAGTGATTTTCCTATACTGTGGGATTTTAACTCTGGTAACACAAAAGAAAAGAAAAAGTACTGAAGGCTTTGGAGAATATCTGTAAAATAGGTTTCATTGTACTCTATTCTCTCTGTGAAAGTACCATTACAAGTATAAACAAAAAAATCACACCATTTTCTTCTAGTAACAAACATCTGTCCTTGAACTTGAGCAAAATAAGAATGATTACTTTTTAATGACAATTTCCCTGACTTGTTAATAAGATAAACTGATATTTTGCATGTACAAAATGACAAACATGAACTACATTTTGTTATCAAAGGACACTTGATTTCAACACAGCCATCGCCACAGCACGAACATGAAACCAACAAATCTGGACTAGCTGCAATATAAGCGTGTACAGAATCAAGAAAAATACCACATTCATCTGATTTGACATTCTTATGTGCAGTACAAAATTCTTTCAAATAAATACCCTTTGCAACTGGTTCCATTTCCCTACCATATTTTAGGGACCTGATGTTAGGATTCACTTTTGTATAACCCATAATATGTTTCACAAGTGGTTTAACATCATGGACAACAGTAGGTTTATTATTGATAGAACCAACTTTTGTATGAATAGAATAAAAGTTGGAGGATGTCAAACGACCAATCCTCATATCATGCCATGTACTATTGGAAGATTGACCTTTAGTACTATTACTTATATATGTAATGGTAGAGGAAGGGATCTTGATGCTAGTATCAGATTGTTCAAATGACGAGATCCTAGACTTCATGTAGTATTGTTGAACGTCGTCGATCTGTGAGCAATCCTCCTCAATGATATCTTCTCCCCCTTGGCTTGGTGAGGTGGATCAACATCTAGACCTTTAATGAAATTTAACAATTTACCAGGCATAAAATACTACCAATTAATATATAGCTATAGAACTTTTCTTGTTTGCACAATCAAAATTCGAAAATCCAGTTGACAGGTGTACAGAATCGTTTGCAAATCTATTTAACTTTAATCCCGAAACTATCTCCAAGGAAACACTGAAAACTAAACTTTATCATTTTGTTGCGAAGAAAAAGACATTGGGTGGGAATGGTACCAAGCTCTTTATGGATGAGCATGCCAAGAAAAGGTACGCATTCTAGTTTTAGAGCGAACTCAATAAAAGCGGAATTAGCGTTAATCTGTGATTTTTCCCCAGGGAGATGTGTGCGAGGCAATTAATGTCAGCAGTTTTGAGGGAAGGATCTTAAATTTTACTGGTTTGAAATTAAAGCTAGAATACTTACTATTTAGAAGCCTTTGCACCTTTTTTCCTGTTGGTGTTTTTTTAAAGAGGGGGGGGGGGGCGATTTTCCATGCAAATCATATGCGGTTAAAAAAGTAAAAAAAAAAAAAAAAAAAGAAAAAGAAAGTGAAATAAATCGTAGTGAACTAATTAATTGTTCAGTAAAAATTAGACGCCTTTCAAATTTTTCAGTGTTTATATATCAAAATATTTTTTTCCTAGTATAAATTAACATCGGGCACGATGAACTTGGTTGTTGTGGAAGTCTCGCGCCTTATTAAGGTATCATAGCGGTAATTGACCAATGAAAATGAACTTAGTCAATTGTAGTTCCATACATATAAAATTATTATTTTTTCCTTTTGAATTTTTTTTTAATTTCCTTCCAGTCTATTTTTACAATTTTGGTACCTGTGTCTAGTGCATTTTACATATTTTGTAAATAAATAAAGGTTTTTAACAGGAACTATTTTTTTTCAGGGCATAGGAGGCTACTTCCTGGGGTAGAAGTTTATTTTTCTTTGACTAAGAAAACGGAAAACTTAGGATCCACCCCCTCAAATCTGCTGCCGTTAATTGTCTCGCCAGCGTTAGGGGAATATGGGTGATTTGCATCAATTACACTTATTGACTCCATCGCTGTGGAAAAATGGACGGGATTTCTTGGCATGCCATTTTTTTTATTCCCAATGCCATAGCTGGAAAAGAATCGGGGGAAAAGGTTTACCAATGGAAGAGAAAAAGCAAAAGAGACTATTGCAAACATTAAATATGAAAATATTCTTGTGAAGCGAAAACTGAAAAGGACACAGGACAAAATAGATCACTTGAAAGAATCTTCAAAGGCAATTTCAAAACAAAAGGTTTCACATATCAAAGAAATTGAAAACATTATTGTCAAAATGCACATTGATACAATCAAATGTTTTAGAACCAGAGAGAAGACAGGTAGGAGTGCCTTTCCTAGCATTTAAGGTAATTGTTGTGACCGGCGGTTTTGTCTTCATAGATCCCGATAGGAATCATGTTTAGGAGTTTATTTATTATATGCGGAATAATCCCGGACCTCTGAGCACGTCAGAGGGCGGTACTGGAGGAGTAAATCGGTGAGACACGCCGAATACAATCTCATCTTGGGCCTTTCCAACAGAACTCGGAAATGCACATTATATGTAATTCAAAAGAACTTACTTATGTCGATCCATGGTGTAGATCCATTGGGAAAACCAAGTATGATCCCAAGGAGATCACTCGGGTCTAGCTACAATAAGCAGATGTTTTTTTTTTTACCAGATTTTTGAAATTCTTGGGCAAAATTGCTTTGTCTATCAGCTAATTTTGTTTTATACGTCTGTGGATCCTTTACAGTGTTGTATTATACTTAAGTGACCGTTAAGTCCCTTGAGCCTCTTGTATCAAGTTGAAGTTGTCCAAGTAAGACTGTGAATATTTCAAATCATGAAGCTTTAGAGGAAATGTGGAACAATTGTTTTATTTATTAAAACTGAACACGACTCGTAAATCAGCACCGGGGTATACCCATCGCATTCGTTACACCTGACTGCGTTATTGTCACGGGTATCGGCAATGGCGACACATGTTCGTGCAAGTCATCTTACATGACCTTTGTTTACATTTTATTGCAGTTACGTGTATCTGTGTTTGTTTGTTAACTTCACTGACCTGTGCAACTGTTGTTAAATAAAAAAATTACAATATATAAACAAACTGAAGATAGACTAAAGACAATACAAATCCAGAACGGGTCTCACCCTGTACGCTGGAGTGGGGGCCTTTTTATTTTCTAAAATGGCTCTCGCCGTGTACTCTGGAATGATGTTTTTTTATTTATCTAAAATAGCTCTCACTTGGTACACCACGTTGTATTTTTTATTTCAGATCATTTTTTGAAAATTTAGAATGGTTCTCATACACCGGTGTCGCCCGCGTGGCGCAGTGGATAGAGCGTCTGCTTTAGAGTCGCGAAGTAAGGAGTTGATCCTTACGTCGCGGGTTTGAATCCTTGTGTGGGACGTGGAGACCGGTCCTTCGGATGAGACCGTATAAACCGAGGTCCGTGTCGCAGTAGGTGCTGGCACGAAAAAGATCTCTCACTGCTCAATGGCCGTAAGTGCCGAGTATAGGACAAAATTTGCAGCTCTTCACCGGCAAGTGGTGGCGTCTCCATATGAGTGAAAAATTCTCGAGATGGACGTTAAACAACATACAAACAAACAAACATACACCAATCACGGTAGCCTAGTGGTAGGGCGCTCGCCTCCTGATCGGGAAGCCCGGGTTCGACTCGCGTTCGCCGCGCGTAAGACGTAGACATAGGAAGTGACTGTTCCTTCGTCAAGCGCCCGGCACTAGAAGTGAAACTCAAGGGTATTTCGGATGAGACCTTAAAAACCAAGGTCACGGTAGGCGTTGGCACGATAAAGAACCCTCACTGCTCAGTGACCCTGAGTGCCGAGTATAGGTCTAAATTTGAAGCTCTTCACCGGCATATGGTGACGTCTCTCTATATGAATTAAAAAATCTCCAATGGGACGTTAAACAACATACAATCAAACTTGGTTCTCATACAGTACGCCAGATTGAGGGCTTTTTTTTTTAAATTAAGAACGGCACTCTGTGTTACATCTGAGTTGGGGCTTTATTTTTAAAATTTAGAATGATCGTCATCGGGTACACAGGAGTCAGAGTTGTTTTCCCCCAAACGATTGTTGCATCCGAGAAACTTCAACTTAAATCATATCTGAATGTAATTTCTCGCGAAAGGTTCACTTCTATATAAATAGGGATCTGACCTATAGAGTCACTCTATTGTTCTCTATCATTGTTCTCCTTCCATTGTTAGGGGGTGGTATAAATCCTCGTTATGTCATTTAATACCTCTCCTCATTTTCAGTGTAACTAGATCTCGGTCAGGGTCATTTCGTAACTAGATCTCGGTCAGGGTCACTTCATTGTTCTCCTTCCCCATTGTTCTCCCACCTTTATTCTCCCCCATTGTTCTCCTATTGTTCTCCAGCACAATCGACCCCCATTGTTAGGGGAGGTAAATGTCCTCCCTTACTACTCATACAACTGGGTGAGAAAGAGGGTTTTCTACACAGAATCATATCCTTACAAAACTGAGAAGCTGGTTATTAATATGTTCTCTACGGGCCTTTACCGTTCACGGTAGCTCAGTCGGTAGAGCGCTCGCTCCGTGATCGGGAGGTCGTGAGTTCGAATCTCGGCCGCGACAGACCCAAGTCGATAAAAAATAGGTAGCAACTGTTCCTTCGCCATGCGCTCGGCACTTTGAAGTGAAAGTTGCGGGTCCTTCGGACGAGACCTTAAAAACCGAGGCCCCGTGTCACGGCAGGCGTTGGCACGATAAAGATCCCTCACTGCTCAATGGCCCTGATTGCCGAGTAAGGGTCAAAATTTGAAGCCCTTCACCGGTATATGGTGACGTCTCTATATGAGTGAAAAATTCTCGAATGGGACGTAAAACAACATACAATGAATCAATCAATCAATCTACGGGCCTTTACCAATTACTGTAATTGTGTTTGTGCCAATAAAATATTTGTATTTGTAAAAGAGTTTAGTATATTTTTGTTTAAAATGAAAAGATTTAAAAAACAAAATGGGTTTAAAAATAATTCTTCCCTCCGGGTGCATGGGTTTGACTTTGAATGTTTTCCCCGCAACCCCAAGATCTGCACTGTAGATTGCAAAGATGTGGGCTAGATCAAGTTAGCAAAGTGCAGGAAAACATTGTCCTTTGCAACAAACTAACAGAAAGAATGACATGCGAGGATGTTGGGATGAAGCTGAGGTCGGCGAAGAGACTAACTTGCAAGCCCCTAGAAGCCGTTTTATCAAGATCACCCCTAAATGTCTGCCAAAGTTGATGTGCGGGGTACTGACCTGTTAACCTGTGACGATTTCAAGGGGTTTCCCCTAGTGATCATTAACAGGAGGATCTGTGGAGAATCGGTAAGTGGTTTTTATTTTTTATTTCTCAGCTATTTGAATGGAATTGTTCATGTAGTTTATGATGTTCCACTCATTCTTTTAACAGACTACGTTGTCATCCGCCACCCAGTCCACAAGGAAACCTCAAATTCCGGTGAAAACCAGACTTCCCCCCAGCACCACGACAATATATATATGAAAAGAAATACATATATTGTGTTTGTTTTTTTAATTTCTCAATCGCGACTTCAACGACTAAATACATCAATCACCACAGAGTCACTTAAATCAACAATAAATGCCTCCAGCACCGTTGAGTTCTTGAAAACCACGCTGAAACCAGACTTTGATGCAGTCAAGGAGAAGGGTAAATATATTTTTTAGAAATCTATGTTTATTTATTTCGAGGGGAAAAATATCTCTAAATATTATAATTAAACTTTTTAAAAATTTTTAGAGCACGCCTTAATGATAGCTGTCATCTTCCTTTCCTGTCTCGCGTTCTTGATGACGATCCTGAACAAGAAGAAACTGAGGCGGCTAGAAAACTAATTTAATATGTTTCGACA